ATGAATACACTTTTACTTAATATTTTGTTCTGATTCTTGATCACCCTGCAGCAGTGTCCCTCTAATTGCAACTGTATTATATTCATTTGTGTCACTAATTCATCTTTGTTACTACAAATGTTCCATGGATTCAGAGTCAAAGCCTTTCGACTTGTCTTTTTAACTTTGTTAGTCATCTTAGTTTTTTTTTGCATTATGGCCCATTTGTTTTCCTCCCATGTTTTTATCTGCCTTCCATTTTTGCTTCTTACCTTTTTCTGTCTTTTGTTTGTCCTTGGTGGCGTGGTGTAAAGGTAGCGTTCTCTTCCCTCAACATCAACAAAACTAAAGAGCTGGTCATTGATTTCAAGAAGCAAGGTGGAGGGGCACTCTTGTATCTATATTAATGGAGCTGAGGTTGAGATGATTGAGAGCATCAAGTTCCTAGGAGTGGCAATCACCAACAATCTGTCCTGGTCCACCCACATTCTTGTGATGGTCAAAAAGGCACAACAATGCCTCTACTTCCTCAGGAGGCTAAGGAAATTTGACATGTCCATGAGGACACTTGCCAACTTTTATAGCAAGTATTCTATCTGGATGCATTGTGCCTTGCTATGGTAACAGCTCTGCCCAGGACCATAAGCAAGTTGCAAACACGGCCCAGTAAATCATTTAAGCCAACCTTCCATCTACACTTGCTGCCTTGGAAAGGCAGCCAACGTCGTCAAAGACCCCTCCCACTCCGGTTATAATCTCCTTCCAACCTCTTCCATCAGGCAAAAGATACAAAAGCTTAAACACACTTACCAACTGGTTCAAGAACAGTTTCTTTCCTGCTGTTTTTTAGACTTCTGAATGGACCTCTCAAATTTCAAATCTAATGTTGATCTTCCATTTATGTGTACCTTCTCTGCAGCCATAACATTGTATTCCTCAGCCTGCTGTATACCCCTGTGAACTCTGAATGGTATGATCTGCCTGTACTGCGCACAGAACAAAACTTTTTGCTGTACGTAGGTACATGTGACAATAATAAATTAATCAAATCAAAATATTAGCTGACAATGGGTAGTGTGGTAGCAGCCCTTGTGATGACAAGGCATGGTGTGGGGGGAAAGATGCTACAGCACCTGTTACTATTTTTCCAAACCCCTCCCCTCAAACAAAAAAGTTACATGCAGCCACAGGTTACTGCAGCCTTCCTTTACCTGGCCTTGTGGTCACCCGTTCCCGTTCAACCTGCTCAGTCTTTACCTGTATTGTGACCACCTCACTGTACGTACTGTTCACAACAGTCTCAACATCAGGTCAATTTACCTGCAGCTCCAGCCCGAAAAAATATGATGAGACAGTAGCTGCAACTGGGCACACAGGGACACAAAATGTCCATGAGTTCCCACATAGTGCCGGAGAAACATCACGTCGCGAGCTCTGCTGCCATGACTTACATTTCAATTAAGCTTCTAGTTACTCCCTTTAAAGAAAACTGAATATGCTAGGGACCTTATTTCACTCCAAACACTTGCTGCAATGCAAAGTTCTTACCTTAAGTCTTTGGAGATCTTTCCTTAATTTTTAACACTACTTCCCTTATTTTAGTTTCATTACTTAATTATCTTGGCCCTACCTTTCTCAGTTAAATCCAAGTAAAGCTGCTTGTTTAAATGTATACCCTTATCCAATTTACAGCAATTTGTAGACAGTCCTTAACAATATGCTACTGCCTATGGCATGAGCTTTTATTATCTGTAATAACTTTTTGATGTGATGCCTCAAGTGCCATCTGGAAATTGCAGTACAGTGCATCCGATTGACTATGGAAAAACAAGAACTATGTTACCTCTTCAAAGAGCTCTTAAAAGATTGGCCAAATATGATTTCGCCTTCACAAAACCATCTTGCCTTTGCCTGGATACTTTGAACTTATCCAAGTGCTCTGCTATAACTTCTTAAATAATAGCTTCTAGTATTTTCCCTCATACATGAATAGGAAAGATATGGAGGGATATGGGCCAGGAGCAGGCAGGTGGAACTAGTTTAGTTTGGGATTATGTTTGGCATGGTTTGGACTGGTTTGACCAAAGCTCCTGTCTCTGTTGTATGACTCTGATGGGGGTTAAGCTAACTGACCTGTAGTTTTCCACTTTCTGAATAAAGGATTTACATTTGTTGTTCTCCAGTGTAATGGGTCCATCTCCAAATCAGAAAGTTTTGGAAAATAAAGCCGACACCCTAAGATCATAAGACATAAACCAGATGGCTTAATTCTGCTCCTATCAAGTCTGCTCTGCCATTTGATCATGGCTGATACATTTCTCAACCCATTCTCCTGCTTCTTCCCCATAACCCTTAATCCCCTTACCAATCAGGAGATATTTATCTCTGTCTTAAATACACTCAATGACTTGGCCTCGGCAGCCTTCTGCAGCAGTGAGTTCCATAGATTCATTACCCTTTGACTGAAGAAATTGCTCCTGATCTCAGTTGTAAAATGTGATCGCTTTACTCTAAGGCTGTGCCTTCAGATCCTGAACCAGGGGTCATGCCTAAAGATAGGGTAGGCCATTTTGGTCTGAGATGAGGAGAAATTTCTTCACCCAGAGTGTGCTAAGCCTATGGAATTCGCTACTTCAGAAAGCAGTTGATATCAAAACATTATAGATAACAAGGTGTAGAGCTGGATGAACACAGCAGGCCAAGCAGCATCAGAGGAGCAGGAAGGCTGATGTTTCGGGCCTAGACCCTTCTTCAGAAATGGGGGAACGGAAGGGGGTTCTGAAATAAATAGGGAGAGAGGGGGAGGCGGATAGAAGATGGATGGTGGAGAAGATAGGTGGAGAGGAGACAGACAGGTCAAAGAGGTGGGGATGGAGCCAGTAAAGGTGAGTGTAGGTGGGGAGGTAGGGAGGAGATAGATCAGTCCAGGGAGGACGGACAGGTCAAGGGGGCGGGATGAGGTTAGTAGGTAGGAGATGGGGGTGTGTTTGAGGTGGGAGGAGGGGATAGGTGGGAGGAAGGACAGGTTAGGGAGGCGGGGACGAGCTAGGCTGGTTTTGGGATGTGGTAGTGGGAGGAGAGATTTTGAAGCTTGTGAAGTCCACATTGATACCATTGGGCTGCAGGTTTCCCAAGCGGAACCTTCAGATCCTAGTGTCTCCTATTAGTAGAACGTTTTCCCATATCCACTCTATCCAGGCCTCTGTTCTGTGAGTTTTCATCAGATTCACCCCCTCGTCCTTCTAAACTGTATGGAGTACAGACCCAGAGACCTCAGCCACTCCTCATGTGACAAGCCCTTCATTTCCGGGCTCATTCTTGTGAATCTCCTGTTAACACCGTATTTGTATTCGTATCTGCCAACTGAAACTCCATGTTAGCCTGAAGAGAATCTGGAACTAGAACTTCCAAGATCCTTTGTGCTTCAAATTTCCGAAACCTCTCCCTCTTTTAGAAAAGAATCTGCGCCTCTCTTCTTCTTAAAGTGCATAACCCTCTCTCTTTGCCACCTTGCATGCCATCTGTACATCAACTATCTCATTAGCCACTTCCTTTAAGCCCCAAGGATGAGGTTCCTCAAGATCTGGGTACTTGTCAACCCAAAGCTACAATGATTTACTCAATACCACATCTTTGGTGATTGTGATTTTCTAACTCCCTTCAATTTCTTGATTTATTGTTGCTTCTTCTATAGGAAAGACGTACAAGATATCTGTTCAATTTATCTGCCAATTCATTATTTTCGATTATCAATTCTCCAGTCTCTCTCTATAAGTCAGTGCTCTCCGTTAATTCTTTTCTTCAAATAGTTGTCAGAACTTTACTGTTCTTTAATGTTTCTGGCTAGCTGTCTTCTGTACTTAATTTTGCCCTTTTTTTTGGTAATTTAGGCTTTTCTTTACATTCTGTCTACTCTCCAGACTTGGCTTCTGTCTTTGCACAATCATGCTTTTTCTCTTTTAGTTTGATACAATTTTTAACATATTTAGTTAACTATGGTCTATCCCTTGGAATTTTTCTTACTTGTTGGAATGTTTCTATTCTGTACATTATGAAATACCCTCTTAAATATCTGCCTCTGTAGGCACTCATGTCAAATTAGTTGGATGTATTGTTGCATTCAAAGGAAAGGAGCCCTGAATGAGCCTCCAAAAAAAAAGTCAGAAAGAATAACAAGATAAGTTATTATAGTTGGCTACCAGATTGAATAGTGCTTGATGTTATTGCTCAAGACTTTAAGTGAGTAGCTTGACCAACCAATAGTGACTCTCGAACTCTCTAATTGCAAATGCACGTGAAGCCCCAGTTTTAGTCCGTGGGCAGTGAAAAACTTCTACCTTGAAGTCTTCAGAGATTAAAAGAATTGCTGAGTTTTCCTGCATTGCTAGTGAAATTCCTCCATTATGTGCAGTAGATAAAAATCTTCCCAGACAGCTTGTGGGCAATCAAAGTTACTTCAACAGAAACAAAGCCAAGGTTACACTGTGCATGTCATGGGGATGCTTGTTCCTCAATATTAAGTATGTAATATTGAATCAAGATCCTAGCTTTCGGAGGAAATGAGTGGCCTGGTCCCTGCAGGTGTTCCTGTGTACTATTCATTGCATGCAAGAAGACATCTCCTAAGTGCTTTACATTAATAGAGATGCTAAGTTGGAGGGGCAAAAGGAAAAGTCAAGGGAGTGTCACAATCCGATTTTGAGAATTTTGAAATTATCCAAGGAAGGGGCAAAATGGATGTAAATGCAGTTGATGACCCACTAGCAAATATTTCTGTAATTGATTTGCCAAAAGGTGGTATTTCAAATGAAGATAATTTTAAACTAGGAACTGTAAAGTTAATGTCATAAAGTATTTTGCAATATGGACTCAGTCCAGGGTTGATCAGTCTTCAAAAGCACACAAAATGAGAAAAAGATTCCACATAGCGGTTGAATGAACTTTTTAATATTGTTTCTCATTTGTGCTTTTTATTTGCCCTCTGAGTGAAACAAAAGTGGGAAATTTGTTTTCTTTTACAGTCGCGCAGTGTGGACAAACAGCATGCTGTTATCAACTATAACTCTGCTGAAGATGAACACAAAGTAAAGGATCTTGGCAGTCTAAATGGGGTAAGCTGTTACTGATCAACGATTTTGACACCACCTTTGTTTCGTCTTATTTTGAATCTGGTTTAATTATAGCATTTTTTAACGCATAAAAAATGCTTATGTATAAAACAATTGAAAGTATTGCAAATCTAATGCTTAAAATTTAATAGATTCAGACAACCACAATAAAAAGAAAATGTGGAGATGGCAATAGAATTTCAAGTTTTGGTTCAATGATATAATAATCTTTCTTTAATTTCTGACTGGCATCTTTTGTTTTCAGACATTTATTAATGAAGCCCGAATACCAGAGCAAACATACATCACTCTGAAGATAGATGATAAACTTCGATTTGGATATGATATCCTTTCCAAATAACACTCTCATTAGTAAACAATAAAATGTTAATAGAGTTACAAAGGGTCTAAAGCATTAGAAACAAGCCTGTCAGTCTAACTTGTCTACTCTAGCATTTACACTAAATGGAAATCACCACCTGCTCCTCTTTTGTACCATTGGCACATCATTGTAATCATTCTTCTTGATTATACTTCTCCAGTTTCCAATAAGTAATATTTCCATGATTAATAATCCTGGTAAATATAACTGGTATAATTGTATAGGCTTGAAATGTATGCAAGAAGAATTTGTATTAATTGATTTTTTTTTTTATTTTTGACTTTCAATTCCCCCCCCCCCAAAAAAAAATCACAAGCTGTGTTGTAGCCCGTAGGGTGCCAACATAGTCCTTAATCACAGTTGTGACTGTTCTACATGATTCAACAGGTTATTTGATGGAAAGTCATCACAGCTGAACCTGATCCTTCCTTCCCTCATGACATACTTACTTATTTACCAGCAAGGAATTAAATGGTGAACAACAACAAAAATTCAACTCTATTTGTTTCTACCTTTTCTGAACACCCTCTCGCATTTAAGAATCTCATGCTTAATGCTTGAGACTATCGCGTGCTATTTGATCATTGCACTTATTAAATATATAATTTTGTACCTGATGGAGTATCAGTGATTTGAACTGACATTTTAGACCTTAAGACTGTAAGATATTGGGGCAGAATTAGGCTATTCAGCTTCCTGTTAATCTTCAGCTAATTATCACTACATTACCAGCACCAACCAGCAAATATGACAGTTAAATTATGATAGTGAAATGTATTTTAGTTTGCAGTGCTGTTGTTTTTGATCCTTAATGTGCCTTACATACCAATTTGTTCACTGTAGCAAGAGGAGAAGTGCAAGTCCCAGAGGAAGCACTGAAGGTAAGGCTAGCAAAGCTTGCCTTAAAGTTGCCTGTGTCAAATTTTATCGCAATAATCAAATTGTTACAGCGCAGAATGTGGCCATTTGTTCCATTGTGTCTGCAATATTAAAGTAAGATAGTAATGAAATACTTCGCCATTTTTGGTAGTAGGATGTAATGTACTTATTAGAAAGTATAGAATCTGCATGCTTAAAGTGGAGTTTTGAGACTATTGAATCTTATTTTCAGCATGAGAAATTTACAAGCCAGTTGCAGTTACCACAGAAACTTTCAGAGGCTGAAGGATCAGCAGAAGCTCCAGATAGCTCTGTTGAGGCCAAAGCTGAAGTGATGGTTCATGTAGAGATGCATAAAACTTCAGGTAATTTATAAATATTTATATTATTTTATTGAATGATATTTGTTTTGAATTTTATCTCAAATATTGCTGTATTAAAATGTGTTTCAAATCATCTGTTGCATTAATACTAATGTGTACCTTGTTGAAGGGCTCTTTATGCAGTCAGGTGGTAACACCAGATAGTCAACTATTTTTCAGGAAGCAGAAATGGATGAATAAGAAAAAATCTTCAAAATAATATACTGAAATTATGAATAGCAAAGGAATAAATTTCATTCTTAAATAGTGTTGAACTCAACTTAGACTGTGTACGTCTTTATAATTATTTGAACCATCTACAAAATGTGCTGGAGTAGATTTTTTAAAAACTAAATTGATTGAATTAGTAAAGGGTCTTAAACCAAAAACATGCAGCTGAATGTGACTTCAGTCACATTAACATTATAGCATTGATGATGTTGTGTTGTCCAAGCTTTAGAATTTAAGACTTCTGAAGCTGATTCTTTTTAAATTTTGAGTTTCTATGAACACCAGATGTTGTACTTCTCATTCAATAAAAAAGTAACTAGTTCTATGTGCATAACTTGTCTAAAAATGATACATAAAAATTATTGATATCCTCACACCTGTTAAGCTATACAAATATATTTGTGCATGTGGTATTGTATGAGTAATCAGAGGCTGTCAAATTTTGTCTTCCCTGAAGTGGCTTGGAACATTTTTGCTATCTTATTTAAAGGCTAGTTTTACATCTTTAATTATAATAAACAGAAAAGTTATCAATATCTACTTGTTTAGTAGAAGTGGATCTAGCCTAAGGCACTAGTCAAAGCATTATGCAATACAAACTTCCAACTTGATGAAAAACCATTAATAAGTCACAAATCAACCTCACCTGTGCAAAACACATTCCAAAAATATGCAGCAACCTCTTCAAGCTTTGCTGAGATCTCTGCTTCTTGGAGAATCGTCAGCTGGATTTTCTGAAATATATTCCAACATAGCAATCCAGCCGAGTTTCAATCAAATGAAAAGAACAGATTTGGAATGGCTTTAAATACCATCTGAATTGAGACTAAATTAAATCTTTGAAAATACCCAAGTTTTTTTAGAAAAACCATAAAACATGGCCCTAAGCGTTTTGTTTTGTCTTTTTTTCCAAGCTGTCGCTATTGTTTAGTATCTGCACCTCTCTACACTCTGCAAATTGACATTTGCACTATAGGTTTAAGATCTTTGATTTTTCATAGACTATTACCACACAGAAGGGAAATCATTCAGGCCATTGGGTCTGTCCACCCCTTTCAAAGATCTGTGTAGTTATTTCCACTCGGATACTTTTGCCATATCCCTGTAAATATTGCTTCTTCAGTTTTGTCTTGGTCCCTTTCTAGGTCACAATATCAGAATATCTACCTCCTGTTAAGCAATGCTTTCCACATTCTAACTGATCATATGAGTAAAACCAGTTTTTTCTCCTGTTGCTTTTGGTTCTTTTGTCAATCACCTCAAGCCTTTAGCTTCTGTATCCACCCTTCTACTATTGGAAACTGTTTCATTTATTTACGTAAACGCTCCATGATTTTAAAACCTGTTAACCTTTTGTGCTGTAGGACAATTTTAGCTTCTCCAATTTATGCATATTTCATGTAATAATTTCAGCTGGTTTCATGATCTTCTGTAGCAAATGGTATATTTATAAAATTGAGATGCTCTATAATTAACTTTTAGCTTTTGTTTTCAATTGGTCCTTGTCAAATTTTCTATCCTTTTTTTAATGAACATTTCAGTTGCTTTTCTTGCATAGCTTTCCAGTTTTTCCCTATTTAAGCTTTTTGTCTCTTCTATCCTTTATTCAGTACAACTGTACTTAATTGTATAATTGGTATAAGGTCCTAATTGTAACTGGCAGAATGTTTAAAGTAATAAAGATAAACTTTGTGGTCTAAAACTGCTGCTGTAGCTGTGACCTATAGTTTCATAACTAGTCAGCTGCCGATAGCTATTTCAGCCTCTTTAGCTGTGAGCAGCCTGCTGCATGATGTAATAGTTCTCAATTTGAACAAGGTGGCCAGTGCGAGTGTGAACAGACTTCAGCCAGTGTTGAATGCTTTGAAATATATCACCAGCTCAAATATTTGCCTCTGTGATTGGACTGTGTTTTTGTGCCGTAGACAATTGTACCACTATAGTAAGTTTAAAGCAAGCCCTCATGAAAACTGAAAGAATACAAATTTAGTAAATATGGCTTTAACCTTATGATGAATTTATTTACACAGAGTATCAGCACGAAAGAAAAGTATGCTTTTTATGGTTAAAACTGAATGTTCTTGCAATTAAGTTCATCAAATTACTTTTTTGCAAATTTATTAAGTTATTTATTTATTTACATTCAAATTCTCACTTTGTTGACAGACACAGTACATGGGAACTAATGCTCCTTGGGTTTCCATTTTTCTTGACATCTATTAGACATTTCTGCCATACCTGTGGCCCGTGGTACCCCTCTATATGGCCAGCCTGCTTGGTGGGGTGAAGATGATGCAGATGATGAAAATTCAAGCAAGCAAGATCCCAAGCCTGGGAGTGTGAAGATGGAAAGCAGTGCTACAGGAGGTAGAAGCCCAAGTGGTGAGTCTCTGCAGTATTAACTTGTCAGCAGCTATTTATAGACTAACAGTGGTAGGATCTATATTTCAGTTGCTTTTAAAGAGAAATGCTGTTTGTTTCTGGAAACAAAAGTACGCATCTTAACTGATATGCAGCTAATGTTGTGATGTTGATTTCTCCTTATCTTTTCCTCTCCTTTCACGTTATTGTTAAGCATAACATCTCTGGAAAATATTTTTGTTTTTGTTTCCCCTTTAGAAGTGCTTGGTTTTCATTGGAACGTCTCCCATTTGAAGTAAGGAGTTCACGTGGAAAATTACTAGTGTCAACCTGTAACGAATGCATCATATTACCAGATTAGTTTGTTATGTTGTTATGAAAGCTTCTAATTAATGCACAAAAACTGATTTTAAATTAAGTTCCATTAATATAAACCAAAATTGGATGCATTTCTGGTATTTGTTTTTGCTTTCAGACAATTGTCAAGAAATTTTTCAGTTTCACTGAAACGTAGAGAAGAATTCAATTTTTGTTTGCAAATTATATGTCATTAATTGTACTTGAGTGAAATCCTGATCAATAAATGTTGTCACTTCTTATTCCTTGTGGGAAGTAGTGCAGCTTTAAAAGAAATTCTTTTGATATCTGCTCCAGGAAAGATTTAAGTTGTGACTTTTTTTTTATGAACTTTAGTCCTTATGTAGTGAATTTCACTGTCCTAATACTTTTTCAGAAGATGCCAAGGAAGTTAGTAAACCCAAAGAAGATAGAAAAGACTTGGAAGAAGTAATTTATCCATTCTGTAGAGAGCCAAGCTATTTTGAAATCCCTACTAAAGAATTTCATCAAGCTGCTGTGTCAATGGAAAGTTCGATTCATGAAATCCCTACAAAAGATACAGAAGCCACTCATGCAGTTGTTCAAGGGCATGCTTCATTTACTATTGAATTTGATGATCATACTCCAGGCAAAGTGACAATCAAAGATCATGTCACCAAATTCACACCCGAGCAGCGTCATAAGCAGAAGAAGTCTCCTCCAGCCAAAGAGCTGTCTGGACTCCAGGCTGCAATGAAAGCAGCAGAAAGCAAAGTGGCTGACTGGTTGGCACAGAATGATCCTCCCAGAATGAGACGAGAATCAATGGATGATGATTGCAAAAGCATAAAGAGCGATCTCTCTGTTCAAATGAGGCGATTAAAAGGTAAGATTCTTGTTAGTTATCGAGAGTGTTATGTAAATATTGCAAAAGGCTGCAAATCGATTTTGATGTTTGATTTATTATCTCACACGGCCATATCAAATGTCATTATGTTTCACTCCCCTCTCTCAAACTGCTGACTGACAGTTGTTCTGAAGAGCAAAGATAACCCTTTTGTCCCTATCATCTATTATGTTAAACTTATTTCTCTTGTTCTTTTCAGTCTCACCTCAACCACAAATGTTAAGCTAATGTACCTCTCTATCATTAAAGTTGACACTAACCATTTAATTCCTACAATCTCCCTTTCCTTTCAAAGCTACAATACAGCATTGCATTGCTGTAATCAAATCCACAAATTGTATCTCCTAGTGCTTTTCCCGTCTGTGTCCTCAAACTGTCTAACATTTTTATAATGGTGTTATCTATGGGTTTTCTTTTCCAACTTGAGTTGAGTCATAGTGGAGATACCTGGATTGTATTTTTAAAAAGGGCAATAAAAAGGCACATTGGAATTTTGTTTGGACAAACCACTTCTTGAACACCACATGATTCCAGTTTGTTTGCTTGAACTCACTTCAATGAAAATAGCAGACAGCTTTCAGGATGTATTTTATGATTATGCTTGTTCTGTTTGAACGTTGTTTTGCAAACAGTTGGAGGCTATTTTGGGGTTTTCACTTGAGGGAAGCCTGCTTAAAAACAAGTTGCTGGGCTGTGCCATTTGTTTCCGAGCATCTTAGTGATGAATCATGTGTGAAAGCTGATTGCCCACTTAGAGTAACTGAAGACTCGATACTATGTTTCCTGAGCAAAGTGTACTGCTTCGCAGTACAAAGTGTTATCTACAATCAGTCTTATCAATGAATGTTCAATAACTACGTGTTCAAGATTATTTTAAAAACCCTTTCCCCGTTCCTGTATAGAATCAAGTTAAACAACAATTTTTCAAAACTGGACCTTGCTTCAGTTTGCAAGAAATATATTGTTCTTTCCTAAAGTCAGGAAAGTGATGGGCCATTGTTGAAATGAAAAAATATTGCAATTGATGCAAACTTGTTTAATGAAAATGTTAACCTGATGGAGCAAATAGTAAGAGTATTTAAGCGCAAAATACTCAAAAAAAGCATGCAGGTATATTGATTCTCGTTGTTTTTGATCTTCAGATTTTAATCAGTTTTAAAGTAGTTCAGTAGTGATGGAAGGACAGTGGAGAGTAATTTAAAGAACAACGATGCTCATCCACATGTATCCCAAGGCATAATACCAGAGCCCAAGTCTGTTTCCTAACAGATACATTTGTACTAAGAAATTTTTTAGGTGGGGGGGGTGAAGGAAGATGAAAGAGGAGTTTATAACTTGTGGTTCCATTAGAAAAAGGGATTTATCCATCATTTTTCTATTCTATCTGGTCATTTAGCAACCTCAAAGAACATAAAAACTGACTATTTAGCATCTTTGCTTGAAGTATTTAAGCTGCTGTCTTCCAGTTGCTTGGGGTTGGTTAATTCAGTTAGCTGGAAGGCTGGTTTGCAATGCAGAGTGATGTGCCAACAGTGCAGGTTCAAACCCACACTGGCTGAAGTTACCTCAAAGGACTCTCCTCCTGTCTGAGATGTGGTAACCCTCAGGTTAAACAATCATCTCTTATTAGAGAGCAGCCCTATGGTCTGGTAGGGTGACTGTGACTGTGACTAATGTTGTTTGCCTAATTCCAACTTTGAGGAACTACTTGATGACCTAAGGCACTTTAGTCTTAAACAGAAAGAAAAAAATAAAATGTCTCTGGGAAGGTTTATGAAAGTATGTAAAATAGGCAAGGTAAATCCAGAAGATTATTTAGGGTGGCTGAAAAAGATAATGCGTACCTAGAGTTTAAAGGGTAAGTTTTAAATTGTCAGTTATTGCATGTAGTGGATTATTTATTTAGCACTTAGCAACTTGAAATGTGCATTAATTTTATAAAATACATGTAAATCTCTATGTTTAATTGTATGTGGTATCTGAAAGACCACATCATTTTAATATGCTGATATTTGACCGTCTCTGTGAAACAAAAATAACATTGGAAATGCCAGGACTGAGTATCTGTGGAGCAAGGAAAAACTTAACATTTCAGTTTGAGCCTTTATTCAGAGCTTTGCGTGGCAGCTTTTGCTGAAGATTTCAACTTTTATTCAGTGAGGGAATCATTGCACATTTGATAGAAAAAATTAAGGGACCAGATGATAAGTTATACAGTAAAGAAAGGGAAAACCTAAGCAACTGGTGCTTTACTAGCACTGATTGCAGTCAGTCATGTGCAATTTGTGTGCTACTTGTTTTTGTTCTGCTAAGCTTTTAGGAGATACCTTTTTATATCTGTTCCCTCTTGCTTTCTCTAGCCTGTTTTTAAAACCTGTATTTGTGATTATTAACTACTGAATTCTTGGGGAATGTCCAGAAAATACTTCCATAAATGGGAAAAGGTAACCCTTTTGAAACCATTAGGTGGATTTCTTCAAGCATACAGTTGTTGTGAGCAAAAGAAGTATTTAGCAAACTTTGTTTACATTCATGTTGAAATTGTCACTTCTCCCTTGTAAATTTTAATGCTTTGTCCTTTAACTAGATATGTTTTTTAACCTTTTCCTTTTGAATACATAGAAAGTAATGAATCAGCCTTAGCTTCCTAAGTATGTGCACAAGGGAAGAATAGAGCAGCTGTACTACTTGGCTCATTTGTAAAAGGACTGCAACTCAGTTTTTTTCACTTGGACAATGGCAAGAGATTTGAGAACAATAGCAACTCAGTTCTGCCCTAGAGTCATTATTCACATCGTAAAATGCTTATTGTTTGAATTGTTAGTATTATTTGTCACCATTTCAGAAGCACCCACCAAATCGAACATTGCATACGTGAGAAGTTTTTAAATGTTGTCTTATCTTCTCCTCTTCCATTGAACATAAAATACAAGCAGGTATTTTTGAACTTTTAGAAGTTAAATTTTAAATGCTTGATTTCTTTTTAAAGGGAGTAAACATGATGATGGAACACAAAGTGATACAGAAAATGGAAATGGCCAAAGGTGTGCTCGCAAACACGCTGCACTTGAAGATCAATTGAGGATGTATCGTGCAGAACAGAGGCTTCATCAGAAGATTGCAACTTCAGAAAAGGCCCATGAGATTCCTTCAATGAATAGGACTGCCTTTATGATTGAGTTCTTTGACGATCACCCACGCAAGCGACGATCCTATTCTTTCACACAGATTTCACCAGCTGTACCCCAAGAAGGTCCTCATCCGTTTCCACCTGCAAAGCTGGACAGGTCTAAAGGTGGTGTAACTGACTCGAAGACAAGTTGTTCAACACATCAGCCAAGTCCCCCTCATAGTAAATCACCACACAGTGTACATGAGCTTCAAACAAAACACTTACAAAAACAAAAATCTGATGAACTATCAGTTCCTTTAATATCTACCCAAACAACACATTCAAGATGTTCTGGTAGTACTGGGCACAGACAGAATCAAAGTCAGCACTTGGAACAACATATAAAACTTTCTCCATTGGCCACAAAGGAAAATGAGGATGATCAGAGTGATAAAGGAACATACACCATCGAGCTTGAAAATTCCAATATAGAAGAGGAGGAAGCTCGTAAAATGATTGACACGGTAAGAGTAAAGAATACATGTTGTGCCTTGTGAATTATTTTTAAGTGACATTTCTGTTTTTGTATTTATTCACTTATGGGATCTGAGAAAGGGAAGACTTGATTTTATTTGCTATTTATTGAACCATTATTCAAGTACATCCAATAATTGGGGGGTGGGGGGGGAACAGGGTCAGGGCATGATGGGGTCAGGGAGTGGGGCAGTGGAGACCAAAGTGATAGCGAGAAAAAGTGGAGGCTGGTAGAGTAGATAAGGGGATCAAGTCAAATAGTCAAAGCAGGCAAGCTTGGCAGAGAAATGAGGCAAGACTGACAAATTAAACCATCTTTACTTCAATGCAAGAGGCATGACAAGTAAGGCAGATCAACTTAGGGCATAGTTAGGAACGTGGGATTGGGACATCATAGCTATCACAGTTATCACTGAAACATGGCTTGGATGGATAGGATTGGTAGCTTGATGTTGCGGGATGTAGATGCTGTAGGAAGGATTGAAAAGGAGGCAAGAGGAGAGGGAGTGGTGTTTTTGCGTAAGGATAACATTATGGCTGTATGTAGGGAGGATACACCTGTGAGACCATGCAGAGTAGCTATGTGGGTGGAACTGAAGAAAGAAAGGGATGATCATAGATATATACACATGGAAACAGACCCTTTGGTCAATTGGTCCATGCAGACCACATATCCTAAATTTAATCTGGCCCCATTTTCCAGAACTTGGTCCATATCCCTCTGAATCCTTATTCACGTACACAGCCTTTTAAATGTTGTAATTGTATCAGCATCCACCACCTCTTCCTCTGCCAATTCATTCCATACATATCTTGCCCCTCAAGACACACCATTCCAAAAACTTTAACAACTAAGTTTGTAGTCAGAAAACACCATGCCAGTGCTTTTCTTTTTAAAAGAGCTGTCCTATTATCTCTATTCCTCAGCTTTACCTAGGACTTTACAAATTCTAAATATGATACAACAGCATCTGATTCATTTACCAGAAGCAGTGGCTTCTGTCTGAACCGCTCACTGATTTTGATGCTTTCGAAGTCTCCCTTTAACTTTCTGTACCCTATAAGGAATGCAGACCCAGCTTATTTAATTTTGCCGTATAACTGAAATTCTTCATCCATGGTATCATCCCATTAAAACCGCTCTACCCACGGAGACCTTGACATCCTCCGAATGGAGTGTTTAGAAATGTATGGAATTACTCAACTGAAGTCGAAAGATTTAAGTTTTATAGTCACTATTGTTTGTGTTCAATTAACACCCATTTGCAAAGCTGCCTATACTGACTTGTCAATTTTCCTTTCCACTTCTAAGATTTGCAAATGTGTTCTCAAGTCAATCTGATCTTGTAGCCTGTAAAATAGCACAATTTGGATTATGCTTATTCTGTTCCTTGCAGTGCACATGACTTCACACTTAAGCATATTAAATTGCACGTCATACATCTGCCCATTTTACCTGGTTACTTACTTGTAAAGTCTGCTGCTCTCCTGTTTTGCTATTACTACACTTGCTAAGTTTTGAACTGCAAATCTCAACTGTTCTCCCTGCATCCAAATCCACTTACTCTTGTATAAAGTATTTCTAATAATCAACCTCTGGAGGATTTCAGTGCACTTCTCTTTTGACACAGAAGTATTTGTTCACTGCTACTGTCTGCTTCCTTATTCTTTAACTAATTACATGCTCTAGTCAGGACCCTCTCTACCATAAAATTATCCAGCAGTTGTGCTTATCTTAGTAGGCAAATGCTAGCAACAGTTTTCTGATTTACATAGTTCTTATTGTATGATAAAAATAATGGATAGTAATAAGAGATAGTGAGAAGGAAGTAAGAACATTTAATGGCAATGAGAGATATCTGGAAAAGAAGGGGTGGGGAGTGGATGAGAATCTATACTGGAACAGAACAAAAACAAACAAAAACTGTAACAGGCTGTTTGAGAGAGGAATATTTGAACTAGCTTGGCAAAAAAATGTATAGATTTACCAGTACCAAATACAAGATTTGAGATCCAAAGGCAGAGGTGATAAATTTGAAATAATTTTAGACCACAGTCATGCAGTATTTGTTTCGAATTATAATACAATGAAATATTTTCAAAGACCTGTTTCATTCTGTCTGGAAGAACTAGCTTGACGGAGTGTTTGTAAATGTAGAAGTTGCTTTATAGATTAAGGTTAATCATGAAAATACTACACATCTGTTAAGCTGATTATAATGTTGAGGTTCATAACATTCCAAAGAGAAGTTTGGACTGTTTACCTATCTTTTTGCCTGTATATATCTTATTGAAATACTCCTGTCTGATCAGATATGTGCCACAAAAGTTAGGGTTGAATGTTAACTTGTCTAAAACCAATTAAGTAGCAAGGTTGTGCACTTGATGGTAAAACATCTTACGCTCACTTTAAGGAATTGTTGAATGTGTTCATCCTTGTAAATGGAATAGGAATTCATTAAGTTTTCATTGAAAGAGGAGTTGCTGAAAACTTCTTCCTGCGTTTAAGATTTTTGAGCATAATGGGAGCAGCCTCACTAGCAATGGCTTACTATCATGGATACTAGCAAGAGTGCAGAGCGACAGCTTTTGTCAGATACAATTCACTGCTGTGTTTAGACATAGATACTTGACAATGAAGGTACAGATGTACCCAGAGCAGGGAGCCAATGACTTGCCTATACATCTATTTATAAAGACAATTTTAACAGCAAAATACATCAATATGCAATGTGCCACTACCAGTTAGAGGCATCCAAAACCAACATGGCCTAAATTCTTATGTCACTAGTGGTATGTGGTTTCCCATGTCTTCATTAAGGAGATCATGCACAAATTAGAGAGAGATGACTTTACAATTTTGTTACTGACCAGCAGGCGAGGACACAAAACAATAAACCTATTAGATTTCACACAGTAGAGTGTGCCGGATGAGGGATAAAATCAAGAAGTGAAATTGAATTTACTAAATCTGGCAATTTGAGCTGGCACCAGAAATATAACCAAGAAAGATAGTGGCCTGGATTCTTGCCTCCATTCCTGGGTTTCTGATTTTTCATTAAGGCCTATTTAGTGTGTGATAACAGTGTAGAGCTGGAGGAACCTGACCCGAAATGTCAGCTTTCTTGCTCCTTTGCTGCCTGGCCTGCTGTATTCCTCCAGCTCTGCACGGTGTTGTCCGACTCCAGCATCTGCAGCTCTTACTGTCTCTATTTAGTGTGGACTGGTTTAGGTCACCAAGGCTACAGCCTGCGTCTTGACCAGGCTGGTTCCACTGGCGGTTAGGCACATTCTAGTCTTCAGTTTTTATGGATTTCAGCCAGCATTTTTTGAAGAGGCGTGGTTCATGATACCACAGTGATAAAGTGAACCATGGTCTGCTCGAGGGAATCATTTTGCAAAGTATTGCTTGCTCTGTTCCCTGGAACTGAGAAAGTTGAGGAAGCAAATTGATTTAAGGTATTAAGAGGAAGAGATAAGGTTGTCAAAACCTTCTGGTTAAGAAGTTTTGAAGTTTGTGAAAAAGAATTGGAGCTGGACGTTTCAGAACTGTAGTTAAACAAATCTGCATGTCAAGGATGCTAGAAGTTTGGTGCACTTTTCTGCAACTTTCTTGATGAAGGATATTAGAATAAGGGACGAAGATAGTTGGATGGACCTGGGTCACAGATAAATCATGGAGGAAGAAGCTTGAGCGACTGACACCTTTCTACTGTTCCTACTTCCTGTTGTAAATTAAATTTTGAAATCATCTGTAGTTACTCAACAATTATTGTTACAGCTTTATCCCAGATTTTATGGTCATGTAAAGTGTGACTAAAACAGGATTAGCACTGTGTCCTCCTTCACCCTGTAAGATCTGGGAACCAATTAACAAACTGCAATATTACTCCACAGGCACAGACTGCTGATCTTTTGTTATTTACATAACATGCACGTGTAAACTGGAATGCAGGGCCGCCAGAAGACCAGTATCTAATTGGAGAACACAAATGGTGGTAAAGCAAATGAAGTAATGTTTCTTTACATCTTGAGAAGACCGCATTCTGGATGTGTACCCAAATTCCTTCACTGATGATCTCAGCACCAAATCATTCAATTATAAAGGAAATTATTAAAGGCTTCTTTAGAATTCAGCTGTTTGTTATCAATATTTTTTGCGCGATATGGGAGAAGAAACTTAGGTGCTTGATTGGAAGATAATTATCAGCATATTTGTAATTTATTTTCATTCAGTTTAACCCATAAGTTTGTTTTAGGAATATAGTACTGAAATTTCCTCTACCATTTCCTGCACGTTCTCAGCAGAAATTTTTTCCATGTGTACTGCTTCCTTGCTTTAGAGATTGTATAATAATTTTCAAAATCCGTAAACTACAAGGAGATTGTAATTGTGTGAAGAAAGCTATTCCAGAGTAGATTTTGATCTGATGAGCAGACAGTATGGGGTGCTGTTTTTCAAACAGTAATAAAGCACCTGCAAATGCTGAAATGTATTTTAATGCAGTGGCTACTTATTAGGTTGATAAGGGTTTTTTCAAATGTATAACTGCTGCATGGTATAATTTGCAAGAATCTGTAAAGCATCTTTGTCTTGGTTTGTCAGTTCCAGTGATACTGCAATGTGCACAGTAGCACACCTCTACTAATCGGACACAATTCATTTTGAAGTGAATGCTAAACCAGTTAAGCATAATGTTGGATCGCCTCTGGTACTGACTTCCTTCTTTAACGATGCGCCTGATTCCTTCCTATTATTCATTTTTGGACTTGGGTGTGTTTGGAGTGTTTGATTTTTACCTTTGGCTGTTGAATAACCTAAATTTGGTTTATTTAGGCACATCCTTCAAATGAGCTCAAATGTGTTTGCAGAGCAGACTGGAAGTTCTGTATAGTAGGACTACTGTTATTGCTTCTGTACTGTGAAGAAATCAAAAAGCTAGTGCCTTGGTTTGTCCTAGCCCCAATTCATGTGACAGCATATCTTTCT